AGGAGTTGATCATTTCCTCATCGGCTCACCGCCTATCTGGGTTACATCCATGGCTGCAGATGGCTGCTGTCTAAAGTCCTACCGATGATGTATCTTCTTTCACTTTTCCCTCCAGACAATTGTGTGTCTGCACTTTATATCACCTCCCCTGTTCATAGTTCTCTAGGAGTTATAAAGAAAAAGCAAATAAGGGACAACCAATAAATGAATGAATCAATGAATAAAACAGGATCTACTTTTTCAGAAAATAAGGTTAAGAGTCATGAGACAACAACTTCAAGAAACCAAAACTCCCTGCTAATCCTTCATGGATTAATTACTGAATTTACCATGGGAGAGGGGAGATGGGAAAAGTGGTGCATTTTTGCTATGTGAAGGCTCCTTTGACCAAACTTTAACCAAAGTATTAGCTAAGCCTGAAAACCTGAGGCATTACAATGAGACAACAATATTAAACATACCTCACATAAATTAACTCAGTTTGTCCTCCCTACTCATGAGGAGGGGCTACTGCTTCTGTCCCCATTTTACAGACAAGAATACCGAAGCCCAGAGGTTAAACGACCTGCTCAAGCTCACAGTCTGGCGTGATGGGCAGGACGCACACCTGGGCCGCCTGGCTCCAGGCTCTGATTACAGCAACTCAACGGGGATGAGGTTCACGTAGAGGTAAATTATAAAAATCAGCTAATGCACAGTAAAATGAACGTCAAGTGAAAGATGAGACAGTGAGTCTGTCCTGAACATACGGATAGTATCTTGAAACATAATTTTAAGAGAACTTTGAACAAAAAGTGACAGACTGGAGAGGGGAGGCAGCTACCGAAGGCTTCCTTTAATAACCCATGATTTTTAATATTATTTGCTCAAGAATGGGAAGGAGGAAGAAAAGACTAAGAGAGCAAGCGCTCACTGAATAAACGTCGAGAGGAGGGGTCCTTACTATGGGTGGTAGTTGTCCAGCTTTCATTTTCTCTCTTAAGCGGGACAAATAGTGAAATAAACTTAGTATCTAACAAATACAAGGCAGGTAGGTTTCATTAAAGCTTTGAGGTATCTGAGACCTTGACTTCTATCCTACTGTGCCAGCAGCAAAATGCAAAGAAGTTTTCTCATTTAACTGCCACTCAAGCTGCTCTCAAATATTACAGTGTTAATTTCTCTTCCTAGGGTAATAATAGAGCATTAGTTCCTCTTCCTCAACAACCGGCTGAAAAGACTTCTGGGGCCACAGGGTCAATAGGATGCAATAGCATGCAGTCCTCTGCAAGTTCCTTAATGCTGCGACAATGGGAACTGTGGCCTCCCCAGGCGGCACGCATGCAAGAGAGAAAGACACCCGTTTCCCACTGTCAGCCACATGGAACCGATCCGACGATGCCCCATGAGGCTGGATCTCGTGTGCAGCTGGGCAATTCCTCCCCAGTGGGAGAGCCTGGGCCTCAAAGGGAGCTCTGTCTGTGGAGGCGATACTGGCCAGGCGGAGAGGTTAAGAACTGAGTCGATTATGTCCGCTGGGTGAGGAATCTGTCTCTGAGAATAGCACTATTGTTAGGTGGTACTCAGTTCACCCGTATGAATTTAATAGTGTCCAGCTCCCTATTAATTTTCTTCAGCGACTGTATAAAACCAGAAGAAAAATAAAGAAGCCACCAGGCATGAAATTCGAAGCAAAAGCAGTCATGCATCACTCAGCTGTGGGGTTCATTTGATATGTAAAGGTATACACCCGCCACAACTGTCACATTAGTGAAACTTAAGTGGATGTGTTTGCAATGGGGTGGTAGACTTCCCCAGACACCTTTCCCCAGGGTTTACCCTGCCATATGGTTCTCTCTCCTTCTTTCTCTCTTCATCTTTTAACCATTAAAATAAATTACTACCCTTTAAATGCTGTACCAGTTGTGTGGACAAGAGTTTCTTTCTAGAGAGAAAAGTCATAAATTTATTTAAGAACCACTTGGTTGGCAGGAGGATGCATGCCATGTGACAGGCCCTGTTCTAAGCCCTTTACAGGAGATAGTTTTTATTATGAGCCCATTTTATAGATGATTAAGTGAGGCACAAAGAAGTTCAAGGACGTGCCCCAAACTGAGATGAACTGTAAACCCAGAAGCCTGACTTCAGAACAGTCTGTGCTCCTCTCCTCAAGTTATGCCACCTCACCCGTAAGTCACAGCCCCCAACTACAACTAGAAAGGATGGACACGTCTGTCTACCGGCCAAAAGATAATTCCCCAGCTGCAAAACAGTAAGTTGGTATCAAGAGGGGTGAGAGGACTATTACACAAATACTAGAAGAATTCTTTCTTTTTCTTTGTTCATTTAGCAGATCTACGTGCAAATATTACCCTTCAGTTAAAATACTAATGACAAAGATAGCCATTGGAGAAAATGAGAGTTTAAACAGAACTAAGAGAGTGGTTAATAAAAATAGTGAAGTTGAAGATTTTTACAGAAAGAGAGGCTCTAGAAAGGAGTCCTGGAGGTGCTGTGGATCCCACAGAGGAATTCATTCTCAGGGGGTACAGATGGTGCAGCCAGGCCGGGGCACAGACACAGGGAGGGACCTTCAAAGCTTAAGGGCTGGCATCTTGGGGCAGAAACGGACCTTAGAAAGGCCAGTCTCGCACCCTACGCTGTGGTGTGGATGTGGCTTTTGTTGCAGACCCAGTCCACTCAGAAGCAGCTAAAAACTTTTTTCTTGGAAAGTTCCCATCTTTAAAAAAAAGAATTCCAACCTGCCCGCACCCCAGAAGTCTTTTGAAACTAAGAAGGGAAGGAGAAATCAAAGTTCTCTGGCGTATTCTTTTTATAAGAAACAGAGAACAAAGAAAATCCCAGGAGCGTGACAGGACCGTGACACCGGGACCCCACAGCACCAGGCCAGAGGGGGGAGAACTGGTCAGACTGTCTTTCCATACACACGACAAAACCCGCTCTGTAAAACCAGTTCAGCTCCTCTACGGTGGATTTCTAAAAGACACATATTTCTTCTCTTGGACTTGTTCTAGAAATTCCCAGAAAAAATGAGTTTGGCATAAACATCTTCTTCAGGGAGTCTGGTGGAAATTTGGGAGCCAGAGAACCAAGGACATCCCACAGCATCTCACAGCCACCTCACCTTAAAGAGCAGATTTCAGGGGAAATTCACAGGGACCGTCTTTGAGCATTTCAACAGAGACAGAAGAAAGAGTGAATTCTAAAGCTTAACAATCCCCTGGCTCCTCAAGGTAAGTGGGAGAAAAATATTCATGGCATACCAGCTGTGTACAGGAAGGGCTGCGCGAAACTGACATTTTGTCAATTTTACTCCATTTGAAACACACAGCGCAGTCAGCTGCTCAAAGGAATCCCAGGACAGTTTAACGAGGTAACCTCAACCTGCAAATCTGCTTTTAAGAACTGCGTATGAAGTTCTTCCTATTTTAAAGATTCTCATTTTAAATACATCATGAGACTTTACGACTTAAATTTTTTAAAAAATGAATGAACTATTTGAAAATTGTTTTTGATTTATAGAAAAGCTGCAAAGATAGTAGAGTTCTCTTATACCCCTCACCCAGTTTCCTAAATGTTAACATCTTATGTTACACTTTGGTACGTCGGTTCAATTAGTGAACCAATACTGATATGTTATTATTAACTAAAGTCCATACTTTATTCTGATTTCCTTAAGTGTTTACCTAATGTCCCTTTTCTCTTCCAGGATCCCGTCCAGGATACCACAATACATTCAGTCCTCAGGTCTCCTTAGGCCCCTCTAGACCGTGACAGTTTCTCGGACTTTCCCTGTTTTTGATGACCTTGGTGGTTTTGAGGAGTACTGCTCAGGGATTTTGCAGAATGTCCCTCACTTGGGACTTTTCTAACACTTTCCCTCATCAGACTGAGGTTATGGGTTTGGAGAGGAAGAACACAGAAATGTCATTCCCATCATATCAAGGCACAAACTATCCACCTCACTTATCACTGTTGTTGTTGACCTTGGTCACCTGGCTGGGGTGGTGTTTATGCCAGACTTCCCCACCGCAGTCTCATGCTCCTTCTGTCCATACTCCATCCTTTGGAAGTGAGTTACCAGCATGGCACACATTCAAGTGGAGAAGGGGGAGGCTATGACTTAAATTTTTATAATTTTTCAAATGTTATGAAATTTTAAAAACTTTTATAATACTTTACTTTTCAAGGAAAGCTCTACTTCTTGAAATGAACATTCAAGGATGTATCTGGCATGAGTCATTTTATAGGTGCACTGCTTCTAAGAGAGTAAGAAATACATGTCCCTTTTGTCTGACATAAAGCAAACACAGTTCTTAACTCTTCTGCCCAGATGATGGTTGGCAAATACCTGGCATCTCCCCATGCACCCATGGCAGATAAGGATAAGTGACAATGGCTCTTAAAATGCTGATGCGGCTCAATACATAATGACAGGGAAGGATGATCAGCCAAAGCAAATTCCCCAGCAATAGCAATAGAAGGCTCCATTTACATAAATTTTGCATCAGAAAAAGCCCATGAGGCTAAAGGGAAAACTCTTCATGGTGATTGTCTCTTACAGATTGGGGTGATTTTATTTATTTTCCTTTTGCTTCTCTATCTTTTCTTATTTTCCTATAAATGATCATATAACACTTATACGCTGTTTAAAAATTCTAAACAAAAAAAAGGTATATACTGTCAATCAGTATTTTTCCCCCACCTTCAGAGGAACACACGTCCCTGCATCAGCAGAGCGGCTCTCGTAAAAGAAAACTCTCAAAGGCTCAGACAGCAATTCAGCCACTTTTCACTTCGCTTGTGAGTTGCCAGAGGCCCAGCTCTAACCTGCTCTCTGGTTTGACCTCTCTTTCCCCAAATGACTTATTCTAGAGCCATTCTCATCTGTGTGACCTGAAGTGAGGCACAGCACAGTTTAGGAACTCCCGAGTTCTCTGTAGGGACACAACTTCCTAAAAAGCACAAGACCTGTCACCAAGCAGGAGCCCACATCATACCTTTGCCATCCCGTGTAGCTCCGGGTCTCGTCATACTGGGGACAGCCCTTTGCGGGCCAGCAGCTCTAAGTGTCTCTAAGTGCCAACGAGGTCCAGAAGAAGGCAAACCCTGCCGCTGTGCTACCGTGGAAACCAGAGCATTCAAAGAAACAGGCAGAGCTGGAATCCCTGTCTCTGGGGCCTTCTTCACAGCCTGTACCACAAATGGAAAACTCAGGAGAGGGAAACTGGGCTTTCACTAGCAGTTCCATCAGCGAAACAGCAGTGACATAAATAATAATAAACAGCATCAGCTTTTCTTCATGGACATCGCCAGCAAAAGTAAGGAGCATTAGGGACATCACTGTGCTTGCTCCAGTCCTCACTCTCTTTTAGAAAGCTGTGTCACTGAAGGCTACAGATGGATTTGCCTGGACAAGAGACAGTGCTCCACAGTCTATGGGGACAAGCCACTACCCTGCATAATTCCTTGTTTAAAGTTGTTAAAACGCCTTTCCGTGACTTTGTGTCACAAGAATATACCTCAGCATAAAGAGCGCCATTTCTCATTCACCACCTAATAAAGAGCAAACCACGTTATTAAAGCTCTCTACTTTACACTTCTCCCAGTGACTGGGAGCTATTTAATTCTTTTGAAAACGAAGTTTCACACAAAACAATGAAGAATCGTGAAAAATAAAAGGCATTCTGGAAAGTATCAAAAGATTCCTGAAAGCCTGCTCCCAAAGAGAAAAATTGAGTGAAGGGAAGAGAGAAAAAGGGAAAGAAAAAAGCTGCCTGTAAACCGCCCCCCCAGTCTGTGCCAGTCTGCCCAAGGCCTCTGTGTTTAAACACAACAACGTTCCTGCAACTTGTGATGTTTGCAAAGAAAAGGTCCAGTGGTGGAGGCCAGGGTGTGAGTCGGCTGCCCATCTCCCTTCCCACACCACAAGGGGCCACGGTCCACCTGCCCAGGGGGACTCCACTGCCTCTGCCTTTCATCCTTAATGGCTCTACAGAGACACCAGCAGAGCCGCAGTGATGCTATTGTAGCCAACTGCATTCTGAAGTCACACAGGCCCACAGGGGAAGAGCTAAATATAGGAGAAAGGAGGCACAGTTCATGGCTGCACGGCGAAAGAGCAGAAGGGCTGGGCTCGGTCATTTTCTCTCTCTTCGCAGCTGCTCTGTCCTTGTCCAGACCCCATTAGCTGGCACAACAGCACCTTCCACATCACAGAATCACAGAACACTGATGACAAAGCGACCTCAGGGATCGCTGTCCCATGCCCTCATTTTGCAGGCTTTGCAAAGGAGTCTGGGATTCAATTGTCTGGCTCATTCACAGATCCACAGCAAAGCCTAGAACCAGAGTGAGCCCAGTGAGCCCAGCGCCCCTGAACTGCCAAACTACATGTCTATATCCAGGCACAACTCACCCGCAGGGCCTCTACTCTCAGATTCTTCTTTGGAGTTTATTTATGTTTTATCTCACATTCAAATCTAACAAGTTTGGTGATGTTAGCTCCAGTGCTCTGGAAAATTCTAAGTAGCAAATCAGAAAAAGAGGAGGAAATAAACCACTCACAGACAACTCTTTAAAACTATCAGGAAGCGACAGTTGAGAGTTCAACAGAAAACTCCAAAAAGCAGTCAAGAGAACAGAACCTAGTAACCTAAAATCATCTCACGCAACAGACCCTAAGGACATTAATGGATCAAATGGTAATGACTCTGGGTGCAGAAAACATCAGCTTTTTGTTCCATATACACTGAAGTGTATACTTAATACATTAAGATATGCAATCAAGTATGAATGAGATGCTGGTGCTAAGTATCTGCATATACAAGCACATATACAAATGTATGTAATTCTTATGTTCTGATATTTTAAAGGGTGAATCACAAACTGTTTATAAAACTCAGCTAGACAGAATGACTCACTGCCTGAGGATTTCAGGGCATTATAATTCTAAGAGACTATTTTACTGCTAGCATTGACAGCCATGACTTCATCAATAAAAAAGAAAATCTTAATTAGGAAGTCTATTTCTCCATGGTCTCCCTTTCCAAAAATAACTGACTTCCACCTAGAGAACATTCTTGAGCAGTGTCTTATAACGTGCTGCCCCTGGCTGAACACGGGCATGAGGGCTATGAGTTTTTTCAGAGCACAGACTAAAAAGAAGGCCCAAGAATCTTTGAGTTCACTGGCTGGAAGGCTGTTTCTCACAACGGTAATGCTGATGCACACCAGAAGCCAGGACTGAGATGGGGATGGGGGACACAACTGGGAAACCAAGACCTGTGGACAGAATTATTTCAGTCTGTTATGTCATCAGTGCAAGAGCAGAGAGACAACTCGAACTGTGTGACCAGTCCCAATGCAAGTGTCCACTTATTTAGCTATATGCAACATCAAAATCATTCCACTAGTTTATATTATTTCATAATATAACTATGGCTGACCTGTTAAATCTGGATTGATACAAACATGGGGGGAAAAAAACCAAATTATTAATTTAATAATTGCAATTTATCTGGCAAACAAGTTCTTTTAAACCTGTAGTCCATGGGGAAAAGCATTAAAAAAGACTCAGGGACTGAAGTGGATGCAGTGACCTCTGGAGGTCTGAGTCACACCCCAGCTCCCCCTAAAAAAGAAACGACTGGAGTGAAAGATTACACAGAAGCATTCTGAAGATAGACACCAACACTAAATAAATTCAAAGTACAGTCAGCTCACAATTATCCACACCAGTGGCAGAATAGCCTATTCATGAAGAGACAAGAGAAGAAGCGCCCCGAGACTGGCTGGGTGCACCCCCGCCTCCCAAGGTGCTCCTAGGGAATGTAGGAGGGGTAGGAGGTGGAACTGAAAATAGAAAATAGACTGAAAAGTATGCTGTCCTATAAAGAAGGGGCAGAGGAAGCGAGCCACACCCAGTAAGAAGGCAATGAGAGATACCCTGAGTGTTGTCACGTGGCGTGTTACTGACACAAGCACGGAACCTGTTTCTCTGGAGGTCTCTCAAACATAGCTGACTCTCATGTCCCTGGAATAACTGGGGACACTTATTTAAAGGCTGAGGATTCAACTACATGACTTCCAAGGAACGTATCTTTTGAGCCTGAAGATATAAATAAAAGTAAACAATTTGTTTTACATGTGATTAAAGAATTTCTAAAATCACAACACCAAAGAATTATTGATAACTTGACTGTTACGCCCATTTGTAGAAGTGTAAGAAAACTAAATTTGTCTATCATGCTAATTCATACATCTCTTCAACAAAGATTTTATTTATTACCTTCAATACATACAGCAATGCAGTAGGAGATGTGAAGACGTAAAATTGAAAAGGTGCACCAAAGATGTAGGAGAAAAGTACAGAAAAGACTAGAGGGGAAAAACCCCCACAGAATTAGCCATTGCAAAGAGTATAAGAGACGATTCAGAGGAATAAGAGAGGGATAGAGTTAATTGGGGAAGGCGTATTAAAAGGGGTAAATCTAAATGAAGCCTGATATTGGTGATGTTCACAAATTGGCAGAGAAAAGAAAGAAGGCAGGCATTTCCACATTGGGGATTACAAATCAGCAAAGGCAGGAACTTGGGGATTTCTAAAGAAGGGATCAGTCTGGCAGTGATGGAGGATCCATGACAGAGAAGAAGTCCAAGCCCAGTGACCCGTGTGGCCTTGGACACTCCAGCGAGGGCGCTCCAACACAGAGCAACACCTTATAACTGGCCCTAAAGAACTTCCCCCTGAGACACGCGCACACATTCAGGGCTCTTCCTTACCTTTTCCGTAGAAGAATTTGCGGTAATAGTAGGCCCCAAGGTCAATGTGCTCTATGATGTAGCGTTTCACTTTCTCCCTGTGAATCGGCTGGTTCTCTCTGGGCACTTCCAAGACGGAGACGCCTGCATTTGTGCAGTGAGAGCTGAGAGAGGATTCAAAGGAACAACTTTCTGCAGAGCTGAAGGATGATGAGTTGGCCCTGGAGAGCGCGATCCTCCTGTCACCTTCACCCCCTGTCTCATTTCTAAAGTAAGGACAACTCAGGACGAGGTCATTACTTTTCCCGTCCCCCTCATCAGCATCCAGGTTCTCTTTTGAGTTGAGATCCTCCTTGCTGCCCAAAGGGGATTCACAGTTGCCCGGTTGGCCGGCTGGCATCTGAGTCTGGGAGGCTGCAGACGCTCCGGTGGTTATGTTTTTCCTTTTCCCCACATTAGCCCTCGTAGCCATGGCTTCGTTGATATTAAACAAAATGCTCTGGACATCATAATGTGCAAAACACCGCTGGCAATTCCAAGGGCGGACGCCCCTCTCAAGACGACTGTCTTCCAGATCAGACGTGAACTTGAAAGTTTCATGTTCACTTTTAACAGCTCGCAGCTTTCGGAAGAGGGACGTTTCCACGGACTCCGGCTTTAACCTCCGTTTGAAAGGCTTGTCCCTGTCTCTCCCCATGAGGAGGGCACTGTCCACGTAGTCTAATCCTGAGATGCGGACAAATTCTCCTCTAGAAATCTGTGCCGCTGCATGAAGGCTGGGAGAGACGGCAGGGTCACAGGGGCAAAACTCAGGGAACCCAAAAGGGGCCATCGCTTTGTGGTCATAATTCTCTACTCGGTAGCCTCTGAGCATAGCAAAAAAGTTCTCGCCAGATAAGCCTTGCCGGTCTATGGAAGACGTGCTTCCGTACTCCCGGTGGAGGGCGGCCCCCGTATTGGGGTTCACTGCGTTTTGGTCTAAGACGTCTTCGGCGTCGATGTCGCTGATGGTGACATCACTATTGCTTCTCTGTCTTATGGGGTGAAGTCCTCTTTGAGGAGAGTGCACAAAGATGTCTCCGATTGTGTACTTTGCCTCCACAAAGTCTAGGTCAAGCTGCTCCTCTTGCTGACCATCGCTCTGGTCGTTTTGCCCATTGTGCATGATGGATACGACACTTTCGTAACTGGTCTGAGACCTGCTTTCCCACAGTGCTTTGCAGGCTAGGTCCTTGGAGCAGTCCTTTTTGGGAGGCCACTCAGACACTCTTGCTCTCACACCCATCTTGGGCACAGCTGGGGTACCATTGGCCGGACCACCACTCTCGCTGGAATTTGAGGCATTTAAAGAAGTGGCATGTCCCATGTTGCCATTAATGGCTTTAAATTTTCGAACAAAATAGTCATCGGACTGCATGATTCTGGGAGGATCTTTGAACTTTGAAGAGGCTCTGCCAAGCTTGTGCTTCTCTTCTTGTGACTGCCTTGGGTCACTCATGTCTACCCAGGCAAAAAGCTCCGATCCCACCAGAAGACTGATGGAAATCTAATTACATTGTTATTGACAATGCAATATCAAATGCAGACATAAGGCTTCTTCTACAGTGTATTTTCTGTTTTTAACCAAAAGCAAACAACATCCTCAGAGTATGGTTTCTCCGAAACCAACTTGCTTCTCAGTTGTTGTAATAATTTTGTATACCTCCGTCCTTTTCAAGAGCATTCCTTAAGTCATCTGGCCGTGAGCGTTTCCTTCACCTGAAGTAGAAGAGAGAAAATAGCCATTAACAATTATTAGAGCTCAAGTTCAATACATTCTACATACGGTTTCTTATCTGTCCTTCCTTTCTAGTTCTGCCCATCTCTGATTCCCCCAAATCGTCATGAAGGTTCAGATCTCTATTGTTCATACTGCTCCTTCTTTCCGGAACATTCTACCGTCCTGCTCTACCTGGCTGGCGAGAATTTACACCACACGATCAAGCAGTACCCTCTCCAAGAAACCTGCCCAGCACATCACCCACCCTCACCCACATCTGAGCAAGAATGGCTTCCTCTGTGTCCCCACAGCATCTGCATCTACACCTGTCATTGCAGTTTTCCTCTTTCTCTTAATTGCTGACTTACTGATCAGTTTCCTCCACTAACTTCAAGCTCCACTAAGCCAGGAACTACGCCTATTATGTGTGTATCAACATTATCTATTAGTGCAGCCTGGCTTAAATTAGGTAATTAAGCAACACTTCAATTAGTTACAAGAGCAACTCAATGGTCCTCTCATTGTTGCAGTATTACTATACTTTCTTTCAAAATAATTAAACTCAAAATGTCCAGCAGCAAAAGGGTCAATACCAGGCAGCAGGAAATGAGTTTTCAGAACGGTCTCTTGCAATCAAATAGGAAGTCACAAAAATCCCCCTTAAAGTGGCAAGGAGTCTTCAAGCATTTGGTGTCTGAAGGAGGACAACTTTCTAGTTCATTATGCCACTTGCAACTTGATAAATGTGCAGGGTAAAATAAAAGCGCAGAGATACAAACATCACAATTTACCTTTGGGGTTGGTAGAAAATGGACCTAATCAACTCTTCTCCTTAATTACAAGTATTTCTTTCAATTTACTCTATCATGAGTTAGACAAAAATATTTTCCAGGTATTATATACCTTCCAACTCATGGCAGGCTGGGAATCTTACTTGTTGGCATAAGAATAAAAGAAAAACTCCACTTCTTCTGAAAATAACGATGGTCGTCATAAAGGTATAATATAGCTGATTTCCCTCAGCCTTCACCAAAGCGTAAAAAATAACTGCAAGAAAATGTTAAAATTCCAGCTAGCCAAACAGTATAAGAATGGGCTCTTTCCAATGGGCTCTTAAGGGCTTTGAGATGAACATGTGTGGTATCTTGGAATAGCAGGTATTTTCTTATGATGGCAGCTTGCTTTTCCCCCTTTGGAAAAAAATCAGTCTGGGCATGACAACAAGCTGTCTGCTCCTAGGGCAGCTTCATAATTGAGGAAATATAATGATATTTTAGGATGTGGCAAACCAAGAGGGAACAAGCAATCAGATGCTTCTGTGCACAGAACAGACCAGTATCTGCCCGTGGTTGTCAGAAAGAGAAGAGAGACGACTGCATCTTATCCATTTCACTTAGAATCACTGTGTGTAAAAGGATCACAGATGATTCTGAATTACCGTTATTTCCTTTACAATTTGGGCTATTATCAAATCTTTTCCTGGAAACTAAAAAAATGACAACTGAGATAGGAAAGAAAACAACTCCTTGCCTAATACCTCTCTGCTGAAATGGTATTTGACTTACTGTACTAGCTTCTACATAATCTACAAATTCCATTGACAATTCTGCTGTTTACAGAACGCTCAACAAAATTTGAAAGCTTAAGAATCACTTCTAATGGTTGATACAGAGCTACGTGAATTCTCAACAGGCATTAATATGACATTCTTTTTCAGTTATAGACTATTAATTTGTAAGAATCCTGTTACAGAAGGAAGAACCATGTTCTACCCAGTACCCAGTTCCAAACCACTGAACTGTGTAGTTTCTGGAAATGTAATCGAGAACTAAGTACTCACCACTTTAAGAAATTAGAAAAAGAACAACCAAATGTACCAAAAGAAACCAGGAAAAAAGGAATGAATAAAGAGAAAAGCTGAAATTAATGGAATGGGGGAAAAAAGTAGAAAGGAAAGACAAATCCAAAGGGTAGTTTTTTTAAAAGGAGTAAGAAAACAGATATACTCCTTTCCAAATCTGAAAAAGGAAAAGAAAGAAGAATAACATTATACAAGTTTGAAAATGAGAAAGGAGACATGACCGCTTATACAGGAGAGATTAATATAAGTATGAAACAATTACACCACAAGCAACTCTATGGCAACAAATTTGAAAACAGAGAGGAAACTAGGGATTTCCTAGCAAAACACAAATGCCCACACTGATCCAAGAAGGATTATCGTTGAAGAGAACAGAAATATAACCAATCCCTGACGAAAAATATGACCAATGTACACATGAAATGCAAAGGGCCACCTTAACCACGACTGTGTAACTCCTTTATCCTATTTACGAGGCCAAATTCCATCTAAAAAGTTTAGGATGTACCCTATCTTGCTTCCTTTTGATTGCCGTGACACACACTGAAAGCAACAATATTCACACAGCCCATGGCAGTCAGAGCAGGAACGTGCTCAAGGCTTGGGGCACACCCAACCCCACCACTCACAGAGCTGAGCAAACTGTCACACCAGTAACCCATTCGCTACACCACAGAGAGGAGCTCTGGGGTCAAGCCACCTGCCAGCAGATGTGTAAAACAGAAACCTTAACAGTAGGATTAGTAAGAACAACACATACACTGAATTATTAGTTCTCGAAAAACTAACCATAAAAGTATCAGAGGTCACTGGGCTCAGACTTATATTTGAAAATCAATCTTCTGAGCTTTCACATCCCTCAACATTTCTAACTTTATTATTGTTTGTAACAGACAATATTAAAAATACAAAATCTTGATTCCATAGATCTCTTATAGAAAAGGAAGACACCAATATATTGTCAAAAAGAATTATTTTAAAACATAAATAATAGAAGCAATTAAAAATAGATGAGTTTGTGCTGAATTTTATTATTAGGCATGCCAAAAAGGGACAAAAACTATAGCAAACTCAGACCACACAAAACTGTTTCCCACAGAAATCTGAGAATATTCTTTCAGTTATGATTTTTAAATTTTTTGTTTGTGATAAGAACACGAGCTGTAGTCAACAGCTACTGATTCTTCCTGTCTAGAATCTATTCCCCTTTATTCTGGTAACGGTATCCTGAATTCCCCTCAGGACCATGACTCGAAAACCATTTAATTTGTGTGGGACTAACTCCACCCCCTAACATGTGACCCAGGTTTGACCAATCAAAGAGCTGTATCTTCTGGTCCAGTGATGGGTCCAGAGATTAGC